TATATATATATATATATATATATATATCGACTGTCACAAAATTACTCCAACTTAATTAATAATATGAACTTCAAATTTTAAGTATGCTATTGCATTGATTCGAAGAAAAAACTTTGTAGTAATCCTCCTATACTCGACTATCAAATCTATGACACAGACAAAATAGATGTTATATAACTGATTTGGCATTTAAATTTACTAAATAAAATGATTAATTTTTTTTTAATTTTTTTTTTATAAGACCACATGTTTTCCTCCTGAGAAATGTTAATATTAATCATACTCAAATTAGTGACAAGTAATAAGAGTATTGACAATATTTGAAGTTAATTATTTATCGTTAAAAAATATTCTTATGTCTTATTAGACAATTAAGTGACAAATCATGTAACACAAAAATCTTATCACTTCAATAAATTATTTACTTATTTATCTTTTCATTTGTGTCTCTATATTAAATATTTATTAATTGAATATTATCCTATTTATATTTTAATAATTAAATATAAAAAATTTAATACTTTAATATTTTCAAAATAATGCATATTAATTTTTCATTTAATATTTTTTTCTATAAATTAATTGAATATTAATAACAAAATACAGTAATAAGTTATTGTATTACACTTAATTAAAATATGTATTTACTTTAACAGTCTTGCAAAGTAATAGGTATGTTAGGTAATATTTAATAAACCTTATTAAATATTTTTTAGTGATTTAAAAAAACATTAAATAAATGCATGTAATTAAAATAGAATAATAATATCCCTTTATATGTTAAATTGTCAAAAATATTATAAAAATTGTGAAGGCTCCAAGTTACTTTAGGAATAAATTTCGATAAAGCTATCCTCTTTAATAACTATTTATAAAATCTTTAAATATTTTAATATTAAGTTAGCAATCATGCAGGCCAATTTTAGATAAATACAATACTATTAGTTATGTAATTTTATAATCAATTTTTTAAAAGTATATTACGCAAGTTGAATTTATTTAATAAAGTATTAAATTATTTTAAATATTCTCATCAAAATATTTTTAAATATTATGAAAGTTTACAGATTTGATCTACTCAATAATTTTTCTAATTAAATAGTTAAATGAATGAAGTTTAATATGTACACTAAATGAAGTAATTTTACCAAAAACTTATTCATGAAGTAATTTGTCCTCTTCTAATTAAAATATAAAAATCATTTATCATATCAATAAATTTTTTATTTTGAAAATTAGAATTAATGTAATAAATATTTTCTACCTAATTTTATTTTTCTCATGTTAAAAAATTTATTTTCTAGATGGTCAAAAGACAAATTACTATTAATGTAATAATGTTTTTTAGAATATTAATTAAATTATTTAATGTGTGTAAATATTTTATCGTATAAAAAGAGGCATCGGTGCTTAAAGTGTTTATATTCCATTTTCAGTGAGTTCTTTGCCCTAAGCCATGCCCATGAATATCAACAACATTTTTAACATTAGCTTTCAATTAGGTGTTTTCAACTCTGGACAACACCCTCACCAAAACAATATTACATGCAAATTGTGCAATCATGTTCTTCCTAACTTCCAAGCATTCATAGCCCATATTAAGTCTCATTTTAATCAAGAAAATCCTGCCATGAGAAGGCTAAATTCCCTGAATCATGTAAACTCGCACAGAGAAACGATTTCAAGCCCTTTGCAATCCAGTTTCCCTAGGCCTGTGGTGACACATGAAACAAGAGTTTTTGTTGACAATGGTGTTTTTCATGCACCACCACAACCTAGAATAAACTCATTTCCCTGTGTCAGCCAGCAAGTAGTTGTTGCTTCACAGTCATATCATGGTCTCCCACATGCCATGTTGCCTATGAGGAATAATGTTGCTGAAATGGCATGCTTGCGTGTTCCACCAATCTACCAAAGGGAGATGAAGGTTTCTCCAATTGATGGAACTAAGCCATATATCAACTTGCTGAATAAACCCATCAATGATAACGGGTTTTCTAATAGGGCTATCCTCAATGGCGACACATTAGATCTTGCGTTAAGGCTTTAAAGCTTTAAGGGATTATTTGTTCGAAGTCATATTGAGTTGTAAATGATGTTTGGTGGTTGTGAAAACTACAGTTTCATGTATGATTTAGCTTAAAATAAGGTGGATCTTCAATTGGGAATTAGTATCTTCAATTAGGTGTTTTTTCGTGTTGATCTTCATTCTAGTTCAAAGATATAGACAATGAGAAAAAGTCACATTGAAGAAAAATGTCGGTTTGCATTTTTTTTTTATTTATAAAAATGAAATTGTCATGTGCATTTTGTGTTTTTCTCTTTGTAATTCTTAATTTTCACTTTTATTTAGAGTTTGAATTAAAATAATAATCACAATTGAGGTGTGACAACATAGATATACATAATTCGCAAATACGGGATATTTAGAGGTTTCGAATTTCGATCATGATTAGTCCAAAATTTTTACTTAAAAGTTTTAATGATAAAAAATGACAAAGAATCACGAAGAATAATGAAAATAATCATGTTAGCTAGCGATACAAAGAATAATAAAAATAATGATGTAAAATCGAGATTTTTATTATATATATATTTTTTTATTTTTTCATGTGTAATTTTCGTTTCCTCTTGACAAATCTTAATTTTTTTTTTATACAAGATTCTAAATTTTACTTAGAATTTACCTTCGATAGATCAAGGAAGTTTCACTTTAGAGAATAAAATATAATAATAATTTTAATTAAAATTTAATAATAAAAATTGTGATTAATTTTAAATTTTATCATATGTGTATTTAATTCTATCACAACATTTTAATCTTAAATTTTTTAATCAATATTTATCATTACATTTTATTTTCTAAAATACAATTTTTATTTTAAAGGAGTCGAATCCACCCAGGTAACATCACAATTGAGATGCTTCAACATCACAATTGAGATGCTTCAACATCACAATTGAGATGCAATGTGAATCACATAAACATGCAATATATTAAAATAAAAGGTATTTCCTATTACAGCTAAGTTGTATACTGCAATTTCATAGTTCATGTTATTGCTTGATGATATTGGCAATACAAAGAATAAGGAAAAAAATATAAAGAATAAAAATGAATTGAGTTTTTCATTATTCAATTTTTTATATGATTTGTCTTTTTCTTCATCAAATCATAATTTTTATACTTTTATTCAGGACTTAGAGTCGCATTGAGTTCCAGCAATATGAACAAACATAAACAGTCATAATTTAAACTGCTACTGAGTTGCCTTAAAATCTCTTAACTCACTTACTCACTTGAACTTGTCATGTCTTATAATTAATCTTTTTAATTGGCTTTTAATTCCTATAAAATTAAAAAAAATTTAATTTTAATTTATGTAAAAAAAATTCTTTATTTTTTATCCTTCTAAAATTTGTAAACATTGTTTATCTTTATAAAATGAATAAATTTTGATTTTAATCTCTTCAAAATATTTCTTCTTTGATTTACATCCCTTTAAAATATAATGATGATTTTTAGGTATATAAATAAAATTCATTTTAAGAATCTACAATTTTTTTTAGAAATATCACATACTAATATAATATCACTAATAATTATAAATAACAGTTAAGTGAGTCACTTAACCTTGTAATAAATAAATAAGTAGTTAAAAATTATTACATAATAATATAAGCTAAAAATAATTGTTCTAAATTCTAAATAGATGAAAAATAAAGATTTTTTTTACAAAGATTAAAATCAAAACTTGATTATTTTGTAGAGACTTAAAATATATGTAAGTATTTTTAATTTAATTTTAACAATGTTCATTGATGATACACAATTATTATGATCATTATGATCAAATATTATAAATAATCTATACTAATAATAAAAACAATATCTTTTTAATGTACACTTTTTGTTAACTAATTTACTCTTATAATTTTCAAATCATTTTTTTATTTAATTTTATTATACCATCTAATTAATTACCAAAAACCAGTTTCACCCCATTGTTAACAGCTATTTCATATTTAACTTTAATTACTTTTTGCCATTTATTTATACTCTTTATGCAAAATACATGGCAACACAAAAGTATCTTTTGTATAGTGGTTATTATATATAAAAAAAAAAGATAATACATAATTATTATAAAATAAAGAAGGTCGCAAAAGAAGTGTTACCCTCTCTCCTAAGGAAGGATCTTCAAAGTAATAATAAACTCATTTTATTACGGTTATGGGCATGGAAAGACAAAACTTGGACAAACATAAATTGAATGATATCAAAATTGAAACATAAATGAGGATAATGGAGCACCACCTCTCAAGTATCAAGCATGAACCATCCACGTCTCCACCATCAGCTGGCCATTATCTATGAACAAAAAATGTGCACCAAATATGTATATTTCACTTAACTTATTTATTTAAAAATGTACACCAGAAAACACTAGAGATTATTTTGATTTCTAAAATATTTATACGTACAACAATATTGTTTACAGAGGCCAGTAACTTCTATCAGATACTGCCCCCCAGCACCAACATTTATCATCATACGGCATCTAAGGAATGTGATTATCGAGCCACACCAGAACAAACCATGCAGGTCCACCGGCCGAACATATTAACTACGGGACAGAACCCCTTTTGAACTGCACGTACAGAAAAGATGGATAGTATTAGTTTTACACAATAAGCAGATTCAAGGAAATTCACAGTTCTTGTACAAACATTGCAACTGTGAATGCAAAGAATGTAAACAAACAGAATTGAATATTTCTACATTTGAAGACAAATCATGGATCTGATGGTCTGATCCTATAGAGCAGAGAGATCATCTTTGTTATTAAAGAACAGGAAAAAAAATATAAATGGTTTTTTTAGCAATACTAGCAGCAAATAAAATCTAATTCTCGTAATCTTTGTACAAATCAAAAGGCAGCTTCAAAGATGCCTTACCTTGGTACAGTTCCTCGGCGACGTGGATCATACTCTGTTGCTTGTCGAAGAGCCCTAGCAAAAGCTTTGAAAGTTGCTTCAATAATATGATGGGAGTTTTTTCCAGCAAGCTGTGCTCAGAGGAATGCATATATATTCTGTTAAAAGGTTTTCAAAATTGGAATAAAAAACATCAACTAGGAAAAAGCATAAGACCTAGAAAGTTTAGGTTGAATTATGTAGTAAATGCATGAAAAACATAGAAACAATATCTCAATTTTCTAACCTATGTGGCTATGGGATACAACAAAGAGCCCTGGTACAAAATCTACAACATTCATTCGGTATGTTTCTTTCATAATGATATGCACAAATAAAGTGACAAATTTAATGACTATAACTGATTATGACATAAATTCTAAGTATTAATACCTGTCGAATGTGAAGTGTCATACCAGATGTGTTCACCAATGATTGGAAAAAATGCTCAACCAGCTATAAACAAGAATATCCAGTGAATTCATTACCAAAAAATAAGTGTAAAGGGAAAGATGAAAGGAACAAATAACATGATAAATTATTCAAATAATATATGTGTATATATATACACACACACATATATATAGAGAGAGAGGAAGGATTTACTTACTTCAGGAGTAAATTTACTTAGACTTACTTCACTTAATAACTTAAATTCTATATTACATTTCAACAATTCAACCATTGAATTAAATGTTGTTAATGCATAGAAAGTCTGCAAATTTTTTAAAAAATTGAAAATTATTTGATACTCCGTTTCGTTAATTCAAATTAATGTATAAGTTTTCAAATTTAAATTAATGAAACGGAGTATCAAATAATTTTTAATTTTTTAAAAAATTTGTAGACTTGGTCTATGCATTGAAAATCTTTAATGCAATGGTTGAATTGTTAAAAATTGATGTAAAATTTGAGTTATTGTGTGGAGTAAGTCTAAGCAAACTAACTTTACTCAATAACTCATGTTTTACATTAAATTTCAACAATTCAAATGTTAAATTAAAATTTTTTAATGCATAAATCAAGTTTACAAATTTTAAAAAAATTTGAAAATTATTTGATATTTCGAGTTATTGAATGTAGAGCATAAGTTATTAAATGAAGTAAGTTTACCGAGACTTATTTTTATAACTAATGGATCCCTATATATATATATATATATATATACACACACACATCATAAGCACAATAGTCATAAGGTATATGCACAAAATTCTAAACTTCAATGAAATAAAAAAACAGACATACACTACCTGAGTATCATATGTCCCAACCCTCTGAGTGGGTATGTCCAAATTATAACTTAAATGCGGTCGGCCAGACAAATCCTGAAAAAGTGTGCGAGGAACCCATGATGGAAATAGAGGGAAAATAACGGGTTTTATAGCTTAACTGAAAAATTAACAGAACAACGAGAAAGATCCCTCCTTAAGGGTTTCCCCTCACAACTGAGCTACTGTTTTGTTTACCCAATGCAAAAAATTCAAATGATGATTCCTTCTTCTTCTACACCATATTTAAGCTAAACTTCTGTCCTTCCAACCTATCTAACCAACTAAATTTATGAATTTATCTACTAACTACTGATGTGATACTCTACTGTAAGTCTGTAACTAACTAGTTACTAATTGTGATATCTGGGAATCTGAACACTAAAGGAGGGAAGCTAATGACTAAAGTAATTAAGTATATAACACAAATTAACAGTGAAACAATAAACTTATAAAGGTGATCAGACAAGTCATTAGAACCTCCTAATTCCTGTGTACAACTACTTCCAGAGCTAATGAATGAATGCCCTCAACACAAGCTCATATGTGCAGTACAGCTATGTCTGAATTTACCAAAATTTTTAAGAGTCAATTGAACTTCTTGATGCACATTAATCAATATGATAACATAAAATTATTAAGGTTATACATACAAAAGTCCCAACACTGTTTCAATTTATTTTATTCATTTAATATATTTGTAACTTGTAAGCAAGGACAAATCACATTTTTTCCCACAACACATATATTAAGTTGAACCTTTAACTAATAATTAATTATTATTTCTACAAACAGTGTGCAAATTACCAGTGAAACATGTATTAATGCTTCATCAAGTGGAGCAGAGAAGTTACCAAACCGGTTAATACCCTTCCTATCACCAAGAGCCTGCAGCAGAGCCTGAAGATGAAGTAATAGAAACATTTTAGTTTTAATAAGATGATAGATAAATGCAAATTTATTAAAAGGATAAGAAAGTCTAGGTAATTACAAATTGCCATTGATATAAGCTTAGAGTTGACATTGTAATTGTTAAATTTGTCACCAACTACTTAAATGCCATTGTGTGTAAAGGAAAAGATGAAATATAAAGATATAACTTTGAAGTAATGTCTTCAAAGCAAGATAATGAACTATGAAGCATGCTTGAGTTTCAAGGAACAATTGTAATAGAAAAACCCATAAAGAAAAAAGAGAGGAAAGAATCCTCTCATGTAATGGTTTAGTTGGAAGTACTGTTCCAATAGCGAGGGCGACATCTTCATTTGTGTGATGATCATCAATATGTATGTCACCTGTAGCCTTTACGTGTACATCGAACAGCCCATGTGAAGAAAGTTGCTGAAAAATTACAACCAAGTTTAGTTTCCATAACTACTATCTCCATTGAATAATCTTACATTCTTAACATTCTTTAATGTTTAGTTTTCAAGTTAAAAAGCATAAAACTACTCATTCGTGATCAGATTCTAGCAACTCAAATCTTTCCAGTGGGATACCTTCTTTTATAGACAAGATTAAAGTCCATCCCACATCCACCTAGCCTTTAATCTCTCTCATATTCCAACCTTAACATGCTCACTGTTCTATTATATAAAGAACTTGGATGTGATAATTTTAATTAATCAATTAAACTTTTGTTTTGGGCTCCCACGTGACCACGCAATTTATTTTCTGGAACATACAATAATAGGCACGTATATGACTATATGAACAATGATTGAATCTTATATTAGGTTTTAAGGCAGATGGCAACAATGGGATATAAAATACAAAGCATGAGCAAGAAGAAGACACTAAAATTGAGTTGAAAGTACTGACATCAAGCATATGATCGAGGAAGGGAATTCCAGTACTACTATCAGCAATCCCAGAGCCATCCAAGTTCATTTTGACCGATACATTGGTCTCCTTGGTGACTCTTCTCACCTCTCCGATTCTAGCATCTGAAAATGATCGAAAAAGCATTAAAACTCATTGGAAAATCCAAAATATCAGAACGGAGATTGGAAAGTGAGGCTTGTGGTGACCTGAGTCAATTGGCAAAGCCGTTGCAGCTGAAGAGTTGTTTCCCTCCAAAGCCGCGCAAGTGACGTCTCTGGGAAGATTCATTGGAGTGAGATTGCGTTGATTGAGTGAAAAGCTTGAAGGTCGAAAAGGTAGGGACGTGGTGTTCGGTGTTCTGAGTAAAACCCTAACCCTAGATTTCGTAAGCAGAGATGAAGGACATGGGGGAACTAGAAGAGAGGGTGAGGGAGGTGCAGACAGCTCCATTCAGAGTGCGTAACAACGACAGCGCCACCACGCCGATCTTCTCACAAGGTGTTTTTGGTCCACACAAAACCAACTCAAGCCCAAATAAATTGCAACCTTTGTATGGGTATGCCTGTTTCTATTTGCACCATTTTTTTACAAGGCCCGTTTGGATAGAAGAAAAGAAAGTGAGTGAAGAGAGAAAAAAAAATTAAAATTTGTATTGAAAGAGTAGTTAAAGAAAGGCTAAAAATCTATTTTGCTCCCTTATAATAATTGTTTATTTTAATTTAGTCTCACTTTATTTTTGGTCTCAATTTGGTCCCTCATAAGTTAATTGATTTTAATTTGGGACTTCCGTCCAAATTATTTAAGCGAAGTTAATTGTTGGCCACGTGGATGCCACGTAGATGCATACGTGGATACCATGTGAACGCCAAATTTTGTGAAAACACCTGGAACCAGAACGACCCGTTCTGGATGCACTCTTAGTGTGTTAATTTTGCATCTGAAACGGGCTGTTCTAGATGCAAAATGAACACACCACCAGTACACCAGAATGGTCCGTTCTGAAACCAGAACGGGTCGTTCTGGTTACAGAACGGCCGTTCTGGATTTAGAACGGCCCGTTCCAAGACTGAGAATAAAATATTCTTTATTAATTTTATTAAAAAATATAATAATTTTGAAAAATATTTTTTTTATGGTAAAAATTTTAAAATTATTTATTTTTATAAAATACAATTGTCTTATAAATAGAGTAATAACTTTTTCTTTTTCTCTTTCTGTCTGAAAAAATATTTAAGTGTCACTTTATAATTTTTTGCAACTTATTTAAAATTAGAGGAATAAAATGATAAAAATTAATAGGATAAACATAATAAAATTATTAATTTATTTTCTTTTAGTGTCCTCTAAATTTTTACATTCATTTAAAACAAAAATATTTTATATGTTAATTTGAATTAATTTAACGAAGTATCATATGATTTTTAATTTTTTAAAATTTTTTATAAATTTGATCTAAAACATTAATTATTAAATAGAATAAGTCTATTAAGACTTACTCTTGAAGTAAGTAAATTTTTTCTTCTTTAAAAATGAAGATAATTTTACCACAAAATAAAAAACAATTAAACAATAAAATAAAATATATAAAAAATATCAAATTATTTATTATATTAGATATAACAACATAATTAAAATATAATTAATAATATATATTTTATAAAATTATTAATATTTTATATATATAAAAAAAAGAATGAAAAAAATTTTAGTGGGGGCAAGTGCCCCCACTATGATTAACTTAGATCTGTCCCTGCATATGATTGTGGTGAAATGTTAGTCCTGTGTATCCTCTTCTTTTACTTCAGGTTCTACCTCTTCAAGAACAGGTTGTTGTTGTTGGGGTACATCGTTAATAACTTCAAGAAAAAATACTATATCATTTCATCCTTTACTGTATAGTGTCAATTTGGTAGTAAGTGGTTCACTCCAGTTTTAAATGAAATAAAATCTGCTACCATTATCTTTAGTGATACATTGCATTGTCCTTAATAATACACTGTATAGCTTAATTGTTTAGTAATTGAAGTTATCAATTTCCATTGACAATATTACCAAATTTAGTGTTTGAAATGCTTTGTACCTTGGTCTTTTTCCTTCCATGATTCACAACGTGAACTATAATCATTGATCGTTTATGCTTAGCAGTCTGGAACCAGAACGGGCCGTTCTGGTTGCACTTTTAGTGTGTAAATTTTGCACCTGGAACGGGCCGTTCCGGATGCAAAATTAACACACCAAAAGTGTAACCAGTTCTGGTTCCAGGTGTTTTAAAAAAAATTGGCATCCACGTGACATCCACCTATGCATCTACGTGGCATCCACGTGGCCACACAGTTAACTCCGTTTAAATAATTTGGACGAAAGTCCCAAATTGAAACCAATAAATTTATTAGGGACCAAATTGAGACCAATTAATTTATTAAGGACCAAATTGAGACAAAAAATAAAAGTAGGACTAAATTGAAACAAACAATTATTATAAGGGACCAAAATAGGTTTTTAGTCTTAAAGAAAAGAAAAAAAATTTGTTAAAAAATAATCATAAATTTCAAATTTTTAGATTGTTGAAAACAACTTATTTATTTTTAGAAAATTCTATTCATAAATTTAATATAATTTCCCAAAATACACATTTCTTTAATAAAAACAGTTATTTTCAATAAAAACAGCTTAAAAATACAAGAAATCATCTTCCTCAAACATGCACTAAATGTATGATGCAAACAAACTACTATACAAAAAAAAAAACTCTTGAAAACTAATTAAATATGAAGAAGATAACATGTGAAATTATATTAGTAATCTTAAAAAAGGGAATATTTGATTTATCTTCATTGAAAATATATATTTTTATTATGTCTTCAAATAATTTTTAAAAAATGTAACCATAAGTATTTTTTATGAATTAATATTTATATATTTGTTATCATATTTGGTCGTCCCTTTCTGGGATAAATGAATAATATTTTATTTTAATACAAAATAAATAATTTTACATCATGTAAATATCTAAAATACTAGTATTTAAATAGTTTAATATTTAAAATTAATTATGAAATTTTAGAGTTTAGGAATATTCATAAAATACTCATTATAGGTAATGAGAAATGAGTGTTTTTATTTATTTTATTGTATTATTAGTAGATTATGTTTAAATTGATGGGAAGAAAGTGAAAGTGGCGCGTTTGTAAAGCCTTGAAAGCCACTGTGGTTTGTGTTGATGCAATCCCCAAATCCTCCCTCCCATTCCGAGACATGCGTCTACCTTCTCCAATCTGCAATAAAATCCCGGGACCCATTCATCGGAAGATGCATTCACGCTCGAATCATCAAACACGGCCTTTGCCTCGGCGTCTTCTTGGCGAACAACCTACTCAATTTCTACGCCAAAACTGCCTCATTCACCGATGCCCACCGCCTGTTCGATGAAATGCCCCTTAAAACCACCTTTTCATGGAACACTATTCTCTCCGCGTACGCCAAGGGAGGCAACTTATACTCTGCACGCCAACTGTTTGATGAAATTCCCCAACCAGATTCTGTCTCCTGGACCACCATGATGGTGGGGTATAACCACTTGGGTCTTTTCAACAGCACTATTCACACGTTTCTCCACATGGTTTCCTCTGGAATTTCGCCGACCCAGTTCACGTTTACCAATGTTCTTGCTTCCTGTGCCGCAACACAAGCCCTGGATGTTGGAAAGAAGCTTCACTCATTCGTTGTAAAACTGGGGCTATCCGGGGTTGTACCTGTGGCAAATTCACTGCTTAACATGTATGCAAAGTGTGGTGATTCTGTAATGGCAGAGTTTGTTTTTGACCGGATGAGGTTAAAGGATAAATCAACTTGGAATACTGTGATTTCGATGCACATGCAGTTTGGTCGACTTGACCATGCACTTGCACTATTTGATCAAATGACTGATCCGGATATTGTCTCTTGGAATTCCATCATCACAGGGTACTGTCATCAGGGATATGACATCAAGGCCCTGGAAACATTTGCTCTTATGCTCAAGAGTTCATCTTTGAAACCGGATAAGTTCACCTTGGGAAGTGTTCTGTCTGCTTGTGCCAATCTTGAAAGACTGAAACCTGGGAAACAAATTCATGCACATATTATAAGAGCCAATGTTGACATTGCTGGGCCAGTGGGAAATGCCCTTATTTCAATGTATTCGAAATCAGGAGCTATTGAAATTGCTCGAAGGATTGTAGAACTAACTGGGACTTCCAGTCTTAATGTTATAGCATTCACATCACTTTTGGATGGTTATGTCAAAATTGGGGATATAAACCCTGCCAGAGAGATATTTGATTCATTGAAGTTTCGTGATGTAGTTGCCTGGACTGCCATGATTGTTGGTTATTCACAGAATGGCTTACTTAGTGATGCTTTGGCGCTCTTTAGGTCAATGATTAGAGATGGTCCAAAGCCAAACAACTATACCCTGGCAGCGGTATTAAGTATCTTTTCAAGCTTGGCTTCTTTGGATCATGGTAAGCAGCTTCATGCAGTTGCTATAAGATCGGAA